CCCTACCCATATCTTCCACTCTCGGAACCATCGAGGTGAGCCTCACGAATCGTTCCAACCAATTGCTGCAGCTCATAAACACAAATACCGCCTCCGATATCCGCCCATCCCAACCAGCCGTGCCTATGCCATCGTGAAACCCTTCCCCCATACAAATGTTACTTGCATTTCAGTTTTGTTGTCCATAGTTCATACCTCAGACTTATGTTCGCCTCCTGTCATACCTTTCTATCAAACTCCGCACTTCAACCGCATTAGCACTATACTCGTGAAGATCTACCACCTCGATCAAAGGTTTTTATAGATATATGCTACCCCGCCCCGGGCCTTGTGTTCATGCGCATCTCAAATGCTACTCTCGACGCTAGTGGTAGTATTTTTTGCCACGATGAAGCTTCTCCGTTTATATATCTCATTCTGCATCCACCCCACATTGATCCTACCCTCCCCTCTGTCAGAATGTTATTCTCTAGCCTGTAGTGGGGTGCTCTATAGCGAGTACAACCCATCTAGGGTTTGCTATATGTATCCTCATTGCTGCTAGTGAAACTCTCCTTCTTCTCCTATTTCTCTTTCATATAACCTAAAACCTAGCTATGGCTTCTTAGCTTAAGCTCCTATCTTCACATGGAATCAGAGCTGTTACGCTCTTGGCCTGTGAGCCCATCTGCTTCCGCTGCTACTACTCTGCCTAACGCGCGCCTCGAGCGCGCGCCTGCCTGCCGCGCGCCTATGGCGCGCGGCCCTTTTTTCTTCCCGCCGCGCGCTCGTGGCGCGCGGTGGTTTTCTGACCGTCGGGCGCCCCGTGGCGCGCGGCGGTGCCTCGCCCCGGCCCTGCCCCGTCGCCCGCCGCGGCTCTGTCGCGGCCCCACGTCGCGGCCCCCCCCGTCGCGACCCCCCGTCGCGGCTCCCGTCGCGGCCCCCCGTCGCGCCCTCTCGTCGCCCGACGCCGCCCCGTCGCGGCCCTGTCGCGGCGCCGCCCCGGCCCTGCCCCGTCGCCCGCCGCGACTTTGTCTGCGGCCCCGTTGCGGCCCCGTCGCGGCCCTGCCCCGACGCCTGTCGCGGCCTCGTCTCGGCCCCGTCGCGGCCCCGCCCTGGCCCTTTTCCCGTCGCCTGTCGAGGCGACCTGAGGGGGCCGGGGGGCCCGCGCGTCGCCCCTTCTGCCGCCTGCTCTGGCGCCCGGGGGCAGGACCGCGCCTCGGCTCCTCCTTTCTTCGTCGCGGCCCTACCCCCCCCCCCCCCCCCCCCCCCCCCGTGCATTCCGTGGTGCTGGGGGTGTGGGGTGCAGAGCGTGGGGGTGGCGGGTGTGGGGGTGGCGGTTATGTGTTCCTCCCCTTGCTCCTCCTCCTCCCTTGTCTCCCACTGCTGCAGCTGTCACTGAGGGGGGTGGGTGTGTGGGAGCCTAGGGTTTAGGCTTAAAGGGGGTGTTGTGGGAGTGGAGCTAGGGTTTGAACATGGGGTGTGTGAGAGGGGAGTGGGGCAGTTGGAGGAGGTTGTGTGAAGGTAGCTGTCTTGTCGCCTGCAGCACCTGTAGTCCGTCGCCCTTGCTTCGGTAGCCAGTGAGCCTGTTGCACCAGTCGCCAGTGGGTCCGTTGCTCCTGCCGCTCGTCTATAGCCGCGGAGCCAGTCACTCCAGTAGTCCGTCGCCCTTGCTTCGGTAGCCTCTGAGTCAGCCGCTCCTGTGCCCGTGCCTCTGCAGCTTCAGTCGTTGCCTCCCATCTTCTCTCCCTCCACAGTCTCTCCTCCTCCTCACTTGCCCTCTGTGATTAGCTCTAACTTTGCTTACCTTTGTGAACTCCTGCTCTATACCTGCTTGCTCATTGTACTGATTACACCCCACTTTGGCTATGGGGGTGTGTCAGAATGTTATTCTCTAGCCTGTAGTGGGGTGCTCTATAGCGAGTACAACCCATCTAGGGTTTGCTATATGTATCCTCATTGCTGCTAGTGAAACTCTCCTTCTTCTCCTATTTCTCTTTCATATAACCTAAAACCTAGCTATGGCTTCTTAGCTTAAGCTCCTATCTTCACACCCTCCCACCTCCATTCCCCAGGGTAGTTTATGGTAGCATCAGCGCTACCGCACACGAAGCGACGAGATGTCAACTTCCGAGCAGCCGATGAAGATAACAGTAATGGTGAAGCTCTATTGTGATATGATAATGCGCTAGCCAACAGCTTCCGTTTGTCTCCCATGGCCTTGATCCGATTTGCACGCAACATCCATCGCGAAAAAGGCAAATGCAAGTTTCATAGATGACCCCCACGCCTCCGTCGACCTAGCGTCGTTCTTACTGATGCCGTTACCATTTGCTTCTCTATGATAGTTAACATTTGGCAGGTGGCGCTCACGACGTTTTCCCCATTGAAACCCGTGGCCTCGGTTCTCTGTCTTCCTAATATTGTTTCCGTTAATCTCAACGTGGCAGTTCGCATGGGACATCACCAAGGAGCATGTCATGTCATTTTGTGTATCAAGTGAGAGCAAAAGCGACCGAAGTGCAGTGGTTCTTATTCCTGTTTCACTGCCCCAGCCTTTGACTATGTATTCCGGACAAGCTGTAATGTCTAGTTTTTTTTGCTTATCCAAGGTTTTTTTTTGCGTCGTGCAGATCGCGGTGTGCAAAAGTGCCACTAGAGCTGATGGGGGTATGTTGCGGCTGGCCGATTTGTGCATTCGGCCGCCCTGGAGGTATGATATTTGTTGCGGTCGCTGCATAGCGCGATTATGATCACTTGAAATTCTGATGAAACAGGTCGCTATGACGTCGAGGTTCTGTCACGTTCCATGTTTTTTTCTTGTGTGCAGGTTCAAGTTTCGGTTTTAATGTGTGCAGAATTCAGCATGTTCCGTACGACCATACGGTCCGATGTTTGCTCGGCAAACCACGGTTTTCGTAGCTAGACATTGTTCGGACGTTGTGCAGGCTTTATTTCGTACACACGCGCAGTAGCTCTTGATCGCACACATGTGTTGTATCTCTAGTTCGCACACCTGTGCGGTATCTGTAGTTCGTACATCCATGTATGCAAAGTTTCATCTACTTCTTGCTGTGCTGAAATTTCGGGTACTAAATGGGGACACTGTGTTTCGGGTGCGTCGCCTGGTGGGTTACTGTTCAAAATCGCCGGCCAATCAAATACTAGTTCCGCACCCCGCTCGCTGACATCTGATTGGTCTATTTCGACCAATCACCAGCAATGACACGTGGCAAAATGTTAGAACTAGTCAGTGAGAAACAAGAATGAAGAAAGGAGTGGTTGCACTAGCAGCAGTTGGCATACATATAGGAAACCCTAATTGGGTTGTACTCGCTATAGAGTACCCCACTGCAGGCTAGACAATAATAACATTCTGACACACCCCCATAGCCAAAGTGGGGTGTAATCAGCACAATGAACAGGCATAGCAATAGTTCACAATTATAAGCAAAGCTAGAGGTAATCACAGAGGGCAAGTGAGGAGGAGGAGGGACTGTGAGGGGAGAGAAGATTGGAGACGACGGCTGAAGCTGCAGACACACGGGCAACAGGAGCGCGCACACAGTGGCTACCGGGACAGCGCCTTGGACTACTGGAGTAACTGGCTCGCCGGCTACGAGGAGCGGCAAGAGCAACGGACCCACGGGCGACAGGCACAGCAGGCTCTCTGGGCTACCGAGAGCACGACGGCTCCGGACTACTGGCGCTGCAGGCGACACGACGGCAGCCTCCACGCAACCTCCCCCGACCGTCCCACACCCCTCTCACACACCCCCTGCTGAAACCCTAGCTCCACTCCCACGGCACCCCCCTTAAACCCTAAACCCTCGACTCCCACACACCCACCCCCCTCAGCGGCAGCAGCAGCAGTGGGAGACGGAGGAGGAGGAGGAGCTGCAGGTTACCCACACCGGTCACCCCCATGCCCGCCACCCCCAAACCCTAACGCAGGCAGGAGCGCGGGAAGCAGCAGGGGCAGTTCACGGAGGGAAAGGGAGGCGGCGGGGGGGTCTCCAGGGCGCCACGAAGGAGCAGGGCGCGGGCCCCCCGAGGGCGCCACGGCGGGTGACGGGAGGGGGGGCGCGCACGGGCCCCCCGAGGGCGGCTCGTCGGGCGACGGGAGGGGCCGCGCGCGGGCCCCCAAGGCGCCGCGACGAGGCGACGGGAGGGGGCGGCGCGCGGGCCCCCAAGGCGCCGCGACGAGGCGACGGGAGGGGGCGACGCGCGGGCCCCCAAGGTGCCGCGACGAGGCGACAGGAGGGGGGGACGCGCGGGCCCCCAAGGCGCCGCGACGAGGCGACGGGAGGGGCCGGCGTGCGGGCCCCCAGGGCGCCGCGGGCCCCCAGGGCGCCGCGACGGGTGACGGGGGGCAGCGCGCTGGTCCCCGGGGGCGCCACGACGGGCAGAAAACCGCCGCGCGAAGCAGGAAACCGCCGCGCGCCTCGGGGCGCACGGCGGGCAGAAAACCGCCGCACGCCCCAGGCGCACGGCGGGATGAAAAACGCCGCGCGCTCCGAGTGCGCGGCAGGAAGAAAGGGTCGCGCGCCCGGGGCGCGCGACAGCAGTAGAGCAGCGGAAGCATCGGGTGGGGCCCACCCACAGGATCGACCCAGGAGGGTCGACCTGCTCTGATAGCATGTTAGAACTAGTCAGTGAGAAACAAGAATGAAGAAAGGAGTGGTTGCACTAGCAGCAGTTGGCATACATATAGGAAACCCTAATTGGGTTGTACTCGCTATAGAGTACCCCACTGCAGGCTAGACAATAATAACATTCTGACACAAAATACATGAATACACGTGGACGTGGGGCGTCCACGTGGCATGTTAACTAAGATGTGACGAGAAGATCACTTCATGAGACACTACAATGTGACATTCTGTATGACATTTGGTCACATCAACGTGACTTTTATGTGACTTCGTAGGTCACATCGTGGCCGGTACTTTCAACCATGACTAAAAAACGCCGGACTTGCTGTGACATTTTTGTGACTTTCGGCACTTGCCATTTTCGCGATGCCCTCCCGTCGCCTGTCCGCTCTCCCTCCCGTCGCCTGTCTGCTCTCCCTCCCGTCGCCTGTCCGCTCTCCCTCCCGTCGCCTGTCCGCTCTCCCTCCCGTCGCCTGTCCGCTCTCCCTCCCGTCGCCTGTCCGCTCTCCCTCCCGTCGCCTTCGCGCTCTCCCTCCCGTAGCCTTCGCACTCTCCCTCCCGTCGCCTGTTCGCCCTCATATTGAATCGCCCTTCCGTCGCCCTTCCTCCCCCTCTTCGTCGCCGTCTCGCGCGCCTCAAATCGCCCACCCGTCGCCCCTACCGTCGCAATCGCCCTCGCGATCTCCTCTCACATCCCGTCGCCATTCCTCTCCCACAGCCCTTCCTCTCTCGTTGCCCTTCCTCTCTCTCGCCGCCCTTCCTGTCTCCCGTCGCCCTTCCTCTCCCGTCGCCCTTCTTCTCTCTCCTCCCGCCGCCCTCGCGTCTCATCGCGATCGCGTTCCCAACGCACTCCCGTCACCCTCCGTCCCGCCTTTCGTAAATTATTACCTCCCCTCGCGTCGTTCCTCTTCTCTTCCCTCCCCTTCCGTCGATCCCTCGATCCCGTGCCCTCGCTCTCTCCCCTCCCGTTCGGTCGCCCTCGTTCTCTTCCCTCCTTTTCCGTCGCCCTCGCTCTCTCCCCTCCCTTTCCGTCGTCCTTGCTATCTCCCCTAGCATTCCGCGGATTTTTCTCACGCATCTCTCCTCTCGCGTCCTCGTTTCTATTGCGCTATTTGTCTCTTCTCGAGACACCTTGAAATTCTCTGTTATACGCCTCTTGTTTTTCACATGTTGTTATTGCCGCCCTAGCAGGCCTATGTCTAAGGCCTTTGCTTTGTGTGAGTTGGACTTGCTTTGCACGAGTTGTACATGCTTCACGATGTGAGTTTGGCACTGATGAATGTAATTGAGATTCGCACGTCGCAAACTTTCAAGCGACGCATTTGCACATGCTTGCGATGATTTTTGTTTGAGAAGAAATTTGGAGAGTCGATCAGTATCATATGGGGCTGGAAAAATAATACAAAACAGTACTTCAACTTTCTACACCCTCTTTCTCGCCGTTGTGAATTTGGTTATAGTGAAGTCAAGATGGGAAAAGCACGGTTAACGGTGGTTAAATTAAGTCTCGGTACGGTTCAATCAGACAAATCAAAGATAACAAGGTTTTCCACCAGTTCGGCACAGTTCAGTGTAGCGAGAAAGAGGGTGTAGTGGACCCAACTAGAAGGGGGGGGTCACTATTTTAGCTGCTGGCTTTGGTGGGCCTGGGCCTGCTTGAAATACTTTGAACAACAGTTTGACCCATTACCCATGTTCTAAAAACTTTCGTACTACCCATTGAAAGCAAGAGGGCACGCTTGCGGCCGAAGAGGATCAGTACACCATACAACACAATACATAACCTGGTTGAAAGATGTTAGTGTCAAATGTTGCACATTGATGTGATAGGCTGTAGTGAGTTGCACTCTAGGGGGTACAGCTTCTAGGGTTGCTTATTTGTACCCCATTCGTTTCTATTCCAACCATTCCGTTGCGTTCACTGTTTGAGATGGTATCACGAGTAGTTACGTTCCTAGCCTAGCCCTCCGTGCGCCTAGCGCCCTCCGCGCCCTCCGTCGCGCCTAGCGCCCTCCGCACCCTCCGCGCCCTCCGAGGTTGTTGCGCACTCGCGCTCCTAGCCCGCGCCCCTTAGCGTGGCCCTCAGCCCGCCCCCCTTAACGCGCCCCTTCGCGCGCCTAGCCCGCGCCCTGCCCCTAGCCCGCGCGACGCCCGTAGGCCCTGCCTCAGCCCGTCGCGGCACCCGTAGGCCCTGCCTCAGCCCGTCGCGACGCCCGTAGGCCCTGCCCCAGCCCGTCGCGACGCCCGTAGGCCCTGCCCCAGCCCGTCGCGACGCCCGTAGGCCCTGCCCCAGCCCGTCGCGACGCCCGTAGGCCCTGCCCCAGCCCGTCGCGACGCCCGTAGGCCCTGCCCCAGCCCGTCGCGACGCCCGTAGGCGCTGCCCCAGCCCGTCGCGGCGCCCGTGCGCCCTGCCCCTAGCCAGCGCGTAGCCCGTAGGCGCTGCCCCAGCTCGTCGCGGCGCCCCTACGCCCTGCCCCTCGCCCTCCGCACCTAGCCCGTCGCCCACGCCCCAGTCCTATACCGTCGCGCCCTCCCCCCGCCCTTTCCCACCTTCAAACCGCCCTCCCCGCCCATTCCCACCGTTAAAACCGCCCTCCCGCCCATTCCCACCGTCAAAACCGCCCTCTCGCCCATTCCCACCGTCAAAACCGCCCTCCCGCCCATTCCCACCGTCAGCATCACCCTAGCCCGCCCGATCCGCACCTACCCTCGGCACGTGACCGTTTTCACCCCTCCTCCGCCCTGTTTCCCGGGCCCTCCCCATTCTCCCGGTCACTGGCCTTCACCTCAGCGGCTGGCAGCCGCTCATACCTCCGGTAGCTAGCCGTAGCGCCGAATCCTCCCTAGCTCCTAGTCGCTCCGTCCCTGGCGTCCCTAGCCGTTCTCCGCCTCACCTCGTTTGCTCCTTCCGCTATCGGTTCACTCGTAGCGTTCCACCTGGCGTCTCTCGCCCTCAGTAGCCGTCCTCCTCGTTCTTAGCTCAGCCTCCGCCGTGCTCCAGCCGCCTCGAGCATGTCTTCCGTTATGGAGTCTCGTCGCCTCCGTTTCGACGCGGAGGGACGCCCGGTAGAGTTCGGCACCTGGCAGCGCCAGACCACGCGCTTCCTCACCAGCCAGCGACAGGACGGCGCCACTCTGTGGGCTCACGCGTCTGGTGCCCTACAGGCCCCCCCGTCCCCCGCCGCCCTGCCTACCACCCCGGAGCCGACCCCTACGGCCCAGGCGGAGTACGACCGTCGGGTCCTGGCCAGGGACGTGTGGCTCTCGCGTGACGCTGCCGCCGCTCTCACACTGTCGGAGCTTCTCCCCCCGACTGAGGCCGCCCACTTTGACCAGGTGGAGACAGCCCAGGGGGTGTGGGATGCTATTGTTGCCCGCTACTCCACCCCCTCCTCTGCCTCCCTCAGTCGCCTCCTCATGCCGTTTGTGTTTCCCGACCTAGGCTCGTTTGCGACTGTTTCCGACCTCGTGACTCACCTCCGCTCGCTTGACGCCGGTTTCCGTGCTGCCTGTACCGACGCACAGCTCCTTGTTGCTCCCCCCCCCATGTGGCTCACTGTGCACTGGTTAGTCACCCGCCTCCCTGACCGCCTTGCCACTGCCCGCGACGCGCTTCTTCAGAAGCACCCCACTGAGCTCACTATCGACCTCCTAGCGACTGCTCTAGGGACCATCGAGAGCAGTCTCCTCACCGTTGCCTCCGCCACTGATGCGGTGGCCCCCCGTCTCTTTGCGGGGTGTGCCGCCCCTCAGCTTCCCACTTTCACCGCTACCCGCGCTTCTGCTGCTGTGTCGGTCTCTGAGGACACCGCTTCCGTTTCTGCCGCAGACTGGCAGAAACGGGGCAAGAGTGGCAAGAAGGGCGGGAAGGGGGGAGGTGGAGGCGGTGGAGGCGGCGGTGGAGGTGGCGGTGGAGGTGGGAGCGCCGGTGGTGGCGGAGGCGGCGGCGGCGGCGGCGGTGGTGCACCTGGGGGAGGGGGGCTTGGAGGAGGTGCTGGACAGACAGGCCCACCCACAGGTGGTGGCCCGACCGGTGGGGGCGTTCCCCCCCAGCAGCAGCAGCCACAGCAGCACCTGCCACAGCAGGGACAGCAGCAGCAGCAGGGACAGCAACACCAGCAGGCGCCGCAGCAGTTCCAGCAGTGGGGGCCCCCGTTGCAGTGGGGTCCGCAGCAGCACTGGGGTCCTTCGCCGCAGTGGGGTCCGGGAGGCCCTGGGAGCACCAGCCGCAGCAGCAGTACTTCCAGCTGGGCCCCTCGTCCCCCTCGCCGTGACGCTGGCCCGTGCACCCACTGGTGCGTCACCGGGCCGGGTAGCCCCTGTCTCTGTGGTCGCGACGACCACTCTGCCGCGCGGTGCTTCCGCCGCCTCGACGACCTCTACCGGGCTCGTTGGGGCCCTCTGGCGGTCACGCCTCGCTGGTCTCGTCTGTTAGCCCGTAAGATTGATGTATTTGCTTTGTCCATGGACGATGCGCGTCAGCATGCTTTGTATGTTGATGCTGACTTTAGTGCTGATGGATCTGGGTGCTCGCGTGTTCGTAGGTTAGCCTGCTTGCCTCCTGCTAGTGTAGCCTTGTGCCTGTCTAGCTTAGGTGCTTGTGTTGCTGCTCTAGGTGCTTGTGTAGCGACTGGGTCAGGTGACCCACCGGCTGAGGCCTCTCTTTCGTTCACGCTGGACTCGGGCGCGTCTCAGTGCTTCTTCCGCGACCACACGACCCTTACGCCACTGCTCACACCTGTGTCGGTGGCTCTGGCTGATCCTACCTCTGGACCAGCCGTTGCGCGTAGCTCCACCACCCTCCCGTGCCCTGTGGTCCCCTCTGGTGTCCTGCGTGGCCTCCACATCCCCTCGTTCACTCGGAACTTGGTGGGTGTTGGATACCTCCAGGACAGGGGGATCACAGTTACCTTCGTGGGGGGTGGGCGGACTGCAGTCTGTACTGACGCTACCACAGGTGCTGTTCTGGCCACGTTCACCAGGGAGCCCCGCTCCGGTCTCTACGTTCTCCACACCGAGCGCTCCCCGGTCGCGTCCTCCCCTCAGGTCGTTGCGTCCCCTCCGGCCCAGGTCCCCAGTCCAGTTGCTGTGTCTAGCCAGGTAGTCGTGTCCAGTCCTGTCGCTGTGTCCAGTCCAGTCGCCGCGTCTTGCTCCTGTCGCTCTCTCACCCACCGCACCGTCCTGTGGCACCACCGTCTTGGCCACCCGTCGATCCCTCGCCTTCGTGGCATGCTCAGTCAGGGACTCGTCACAGGTCTCCCACGCACCTTCCCGTCGCTCCCTCTCTCGCTTGCCCCTCCTTGCTCTCCTTGCGTCGCTGGTCGCTTACGCGCCACTCCCCACTCCTCCTCCCTTCGTCCGGCCACCGCTCCCTTCGAGACTCTCCACTTGGACGTCTGGGGCCCTGCCCCGACGCAGGGGTCTGGGAGGGAGCGTTACTTTCTGGTGGTCGTCGACGACTTCTCCAGGTACACCACAGTGTTCCCTCTTGCGAAGAAGTCTGAGGTGACTGCTACGCTGATCAGGTGGCTTCTAGCCACTGAGGGCACTCGTGGTCGTCGAGTCAGTTGTCTCCACTCCGACCGTGGGGGCGAGTTTCGCTCCGGCATTCTCGGCGGATTCTGCGGCGAACAGGGCATCACCCAGTCCTGGACGCTGCCTGAGTCCCCACAGCAGAATGGGGTTGCTGAGCGCCGCATAGGCTTGGTCATGGACATCGCCCGCACGTCCATGATCCATGCCCGTGCGCCCCATTTTCTGTGGCCCCACGCGGTTCGCTACGCCGCACACCAGCTGAACCTCCAGCCGCGTGTCTCGCGGCCCGAGGCTTCACCGACTAGTCTTTGGACTGGTTCCCCTGGTGTCGGGTCGGCCTTTCGAGTCTGGGGCTGCCTTGCGCTTGTTCGCGACACCTCCGCGGACAAGCTCTCGGCACGCGCCGTCCCCTGTGTCTTCCTTGGTTTCCCAGTGGACTCTGCCGACTGGTCCTTTTACCACCCTCCCCTCCACCAGTTCCTAGACTCCCGTGACGTCCGGTTTGACGAGTCCGTGTCCTACTACACCCGGTACCCCTGTCGAGGTCTCCCGGTACCCCCTCCCCCTCTTTTCCTCGCACCCTCTCCTCCTCCTGCTCCCGCTCCTCCGGTACCCCCGCCCCCCCCTGGTCCTGCCCCGTCTGGTGTGTCCCACGCTACCCCTCTACCCTCGGTCGCGCGTCAGGTAGTGTCTCCCTCCCCGCAGTCCTCCTCACAGTCCCCCCAGCAGCCTTCGGCACTTCCGCGACAGGTTACTGTGGACTCTGTTGGTGTTGGAGCTGGAGGTGCAGCCGCTGGGGGTGCTCGGTCACGGGGTACTGGAGCTGGAGGTGCTGGCGCAGGTGGCTCTAGCTCTGGGGGTGCTGGAGCTGGGGGTGCTGGCGCAGGTGGCGCTGGTTCTGGGGGTGCTGGAGTTGGAGGTGCTGGCACTGGCGGTGCTAGTTCTGGGGGTGCTGGAGTTGGAGGTCCTGGCACTGGCGGTGCTGGTCCTGGGGGTGCTGAGTCTGAGGAGGCTGGAGCTGGAGACCCTGGTTCTGCGGAGTCCACTCCGCCTCCCCACCGCCACGACACGCGTCTCCAGGCTGCCCGTCGGCGTGAGCGTGAGGAGCAGGAGCGGTTGGAGAGGGAGCGGCAGGAGCTGCGGGTGCTGGACCTTCTGGAGCAGCAGCAGCAGCAGCAGCAGCAGCAGCCGCAGCAGCAGCAGCAGCCGCAGCCGCCGCCGCAGCTGCAGCAGCAGCAGCAGCAGCAGCAGCAGCCGCAGCCGCCGCCGCAGCCGCAGCAGCGGCAGCCGCAGCCGCCCCCGCAGCTTCCTCTGGAGCGGCAGTTGTTCCCACCTGTGAGTGGCCTGCGGGCCCTTGGCCTTTCCTCCTCTCCTTCTGTCCGCTCCCCGTCTCCTCCTGTGTTTGTTCCTCCGTTGCCTCCTCCTGACGACCGTCCGGCAGTCTGGTCTTCTCCTCCTCCTCAGTCTCCTCCTCCTTCTGTCCGTCGCGACTTGATCACCCGTTGTCCTCCGCGTGCTCGTCACTCGTCCCCTGTTACTGACCTCCACACTGCCCTCCTTTGTTCGTCTCGTCGTCGTTCTCCTTCTCCTGTGTCCGTTCTCCCGTCTCCTCCTCCGTCCTCTGTCACAGCCCCCCCCACTCCTATCTCTGACTACTACCGCGCTGTTCGTCCTGTTGCCGCACGTGTCCTCGCCAATCTTGTCACCGACTCTCGTTTCCCTCCGTCGTCTGCCTCGGCTCTCACTGCCGCTGTCGCTGAGTTTGCTGCCGCCAGTCGCCTTGACTACGCCACCCGTGTGGTGCCAGCTCCTCCCTACCGTCCTCTGTCCGTCGGGGGTGGGTTTGCCCTTGGCTGTGACGTCCTAGAGGACAGAGAGTCTGAGCTGGAGTACTGGGCAGCCGCTTCTCCCTCTGTGTGTGCCATGCTGCTCTCCCCTGAGGGAGACCCCGACGCCCTTGACATACCGACTCCTCGCACTTACCGCGAGGCAGTGTCAGGGGCGTGGGCCTCTCAGTGGAAAGCGGCTATGGACTCAGAGTTGGCGTCTTGGAGGTCCACAGGCACCTACGTCGACGCAGTTCCCCCTCCCAGGGCGAACGTAGTCGATGGCATTTTGCTCTTCAAGGTGAAGCGGCCGCCTGGAGCACCGCCGGTGTTCAAGGCGCGCTACGTGGCTAGGGGCTTCAGTCAGCGTGAGGGAGTTGACTTCTTCCAGACCTTCGCCCCGACCCCGAAGATGACTACTCTTCGGGTGTTACTCCACATAGCAGCGCAGCGAGACTACGAGCTGCACTCCCTCGACTTCTCCACTGCGTTCCTCCAGGGCCGACTGCACGAGGAGATCTGGCTGCGCCGTCCTCCTGGCTTCACTGACACCTTCCCACCTGGGACCCAGTGGAGCCTGAGGCGACCAGTCTACGGTCTCCGACAGTCGCCCCGTGAGTGGCACGACACTCTTCGCTCCACGCTTCGTGACCTTGGGTTCAGCCCATCCTCCGCCGACCCGTCGCTGTTTGTTCGAGCGGGTTCTACTCCTTTCTTTATCCTTGTCTACGTCGACGACTTGGTGTTTGCTACAGCAGACAGGGCAGCCCTGGCTCAGGTGAAGTCCGAACTGCAGAAGAGACACAAGTGCACTGACCTGGGTGAGCTGCAGCGTTACCTTGGCTTGCAGATCACCCGGGACAGAGCCGCTCGCACCATCACACTGACGCAGTCACACATGGTGCAGCAGGTCCTTCGGCGGTTCGACTTCCAGTTCTCCACCACACAGCCCACTCCTCTTGCTGTTGACCACAGACTCACAGGCCCCTTTCCTGACGAGCCCTTTGAGTCCAGTGGACCCTACGCAGAGCTGGTGGGCTGCCTCATGTACCTGATGACTTGTACTCGACCGGACCTCGCCTTTCCCCTCAGCATCCTTTCTCGCTTTGTTGCGACTGGGAGACACCGCCCTGTCCACTGGACAGCTGCTGTGAGGGTGGCGAAGTACCTGGCGACTACATCAGGCATGGGGCTTGTGCTTGGAGGGACTCAGCCAGTGGTGTTGACTGGTCACTGTGACTCTTCCTACGCTGACGACGTGGAGACTCAGCGCTCGACTCAGGGTTACTGCTTCAGTCTGGGAGCTGGTGCTGTGTCGTGGAGGTCTACACGGTCGTCGTCTGTGGCTACTTCCAGTGCAGAGGCAGAGATCTACGCGGGTGCCATGGCGGCACAGGAGCTTCGCTGGTTGACCTTCTTGCTCGCAGACCTTGGTGAGCGGCCTCGCTCTGCACCGACCTTGTACGCTGACAACAAGGCCATGATCCTCCTGTGTCGAGAGCCTCGACTGGAGAGCAGAGTGAAGCATATTGACGTGAGGTACTTCCTCCTGCGAGAGCTGCAGCGACGCGGTCAGGCACGCCTGGACTTTGTGGCCTCAGAGGCCAACACTGCAGACGTCTTCACCAAGGCCTTGGCGCTTGGTGACCACCACAGGTTCTGTGTGCAGTTGGGGCTTGTTGAGGTAGGCCCTCGGTTGCTGTAGTCCTGTTGCTTGCTCTGCTCGTTGTGCTTTGTATTTATATCCTAGTGAACTCTTGAACTGGCCTTGTGGCCGCTTGCTTGCGCTCGGAATTTGTGTGGTGTCCTTGAGATCCACCCTGAGCTTGCCTTGGTTCTTGCTTTGACTGGTCTTGTGACCGTTTGTTCACCTTGCTTGCTTTGATGCCCCTCACTTAGCCTATGGGGGTGTGTCAAATGTTGCACATTGATGTGATAGGCTGTAGTGAGTTGCACTCTAGGGGGTACATCTTCTAGGGTAGCTTATTTGTACCCCATTCGTTTCTATTCCAACCATTCCGTTGCGTTCACTGTTTGAGAGTTAGACTCATAATACAATGCTCAAATAGTGACACATACGTATATGTGCAGTTGCAGCACACAACACTAGACATACAGCAAGCTGGCTGAAGATGTCGACTTTATACAGTACAATGCTCGGACAGTGACACATACTGGTACTGTACTGGTACATGTGCGGTTGCACTGTATAGCATTTTTATACGCATAATGTGGCCTCTAGACACCCTTAATTTTGCAGTAAGCATACAGAGCTGAACCCAGGAATCCCATGATTTGTCCAATGATATTGCCCTGCACAATCACATCCGATAGTGGACACGTGAGAGAGTACACGAATCTCAGACAGCAACACGACACAAGGGACCAAGCAAATTGCTTCTGCACACCTCTTCCTTCCCATGATCGAACCCCTTCTCACATATAATCCCCTTTCACTGCCAGAAACATGCGAAAAAGCATTGTACTCACAAAAGAACCCCTTTACATGTAGGTAGGCGTAAATCTCTACCCACATAAGAATCGCCCTTTCCCTCTCTCCCCCCCCTCGCCCTTGCCACTCTCACCCTTGCCTGCCACTCACCACATCAAATGGCAGGCCTCCAAAGAGAGCCCAACCGATCACAACCGTTCCTAAATCCTGCAAACACCAGTCCGAAGGGGGAAGTCAACACTAATTGAGTGCATGTATGTTAGAAATTGTGCTTTTGATTGATACTAGTTTCTCACTCCTTGAATTTCCAGTGAGAAGAGAGAATTGAGCATCTGGTAAGTGCGTGCGTGTAGGTTAGAAACTATGCCCTTGATACTAGTTTGTGACCACTCCTTTTGAGTCGACTCAAAAGCAGTTTGTGACCACTCCCTACTATTTCCAGTCAGGAAGGGGAGGGAGGGAGCATACGGTAGGTTAGAAGGTGAACATGGCGTGAGAATACAGATAGACTCTAGAGCCCCCCATAGAAATTATTGCTAAGCATGGACTGAAACCAGTAGCCAATGTTACGCTCCTGGACGTTACCACACTCCACACCTTGATGTTACCACCACACACCTTGATGCTACCGCCACACACCTTGATGCTACCGCCACACACCTTGATGCTACCGCCACACACCTTGAGATTGCCGCACATGTTTTGAGTGAGGGCTGAGTTGAGAGAGGTGTTGAGAAACACCGTGTAGTTGAGGTGAGGGTATGCACACCTTCATGCCACCATGCTTGATGTTACACTGGTTACCACTGCGTACATACCTCGATATTACCGCCACACACCTTGAGATTGCCGCACATGTTTTGAGTGAGGGCCAAGTTGAGAGAGGTGTTGAGAAACACCGTGTAGTTGAGTGCAAAGGCCATGAGACACGACATTGACAGCACCACCTGATGCATGGGTGGGAGAGATTGGAAGAGACTGCAGTGGTTGTTTAGGTTGGAGAGAAAGTGAGGCGTTGAGAAGCACAGTGTAGGTGAGTGCAAAGGCCATGAGGCAAGACATGGACAGCACCGCCTGATGCATGGGAGCAGGAGGGGAAGAGAGGAGAAGAGAGGGGAGGGGTGGGTGGTAGGTGGGAGAGGGCTGTTGCAGCATGGATGGTGTAGTTGAGTGCAAAGGCCACGAGACACGACATCGCCAGCACCACCTGATGGATGGGAGGAAGGGGGGGAAGGGCATAGGGAGTGCATGTGTCTCCGCTGTGCATTTAATGGTGCAGTTGAGTGCAAAGGCCATGAGACACGACATCGCCAGCACCACCTGATGCATGGGAGGAGGGCAAGAAAGTGGGGAGGGGGAAGGGGAGGGGGAGGGGGATGGGGAGGGGGAGGGGGAGGGCAGAGTTGAGAGAGGTGTTGAGAAACACAGTGTTGTTGAGTGCGAAGGCCACGAGACACGACATCGACAGCACCACCTGATGCATGGGAGCAGGGCAAGAAAGGGGGGAGGGGAGGGCATGTTATGAAAACGGAGCACAATGTGGTTATGACATAGTGGATGGGAGCAGGGCAAGTTTTGAGGCGCCTCAAGAGTTGAAAACGACTTATGAGGCGCCTCAAGAGTTGAAAACGACTTATGAGGCGCCTCAAGAGTTGAAAACGACTTTTGAGGCGCCTCAAGAGTTGAAAACGACTTATGAGGCGCCTCAAGAGTTGAAAACGACTTATGAGGCGCCTCAAGAGTTGAAAACGACTTTTGAGGCGCCTCAAAAGTTGAAAACGGAGCTCAATTCAAAAGGTTCTGACATAGTTGTGGATGGGAGCAGGACAAGGAAGGGTCGACTCAAAAGGGTGGAGCGGGGGAACGCGGCGACCCACCAGGAAATCAGGGTCCAGCAGCAACCCACTGGGAACGCAGAGAGGGATGTCCAGAGAAGATGTCCAGTGCTGCTGAACCCGAGAGGGAACGCGGGTCCAGCAGCAACCCACTGGGAACGCGGGTCCAGCAGCAACCCACTGGGAACGCGCCCGTTAAATCTCCCCCGAGAGGGATGTCCAGAGGAGAAGAGGGGGGGAGGGGGCGGGAGGCAGAGGGGGGGGGGGGGGGGGGAGAGGGGACAGAGAAAAACGACCCATGCACCACCCACCAACACACAACCCACCAACACACCACACCACCAATGCACCACCCACCAACCCACCAGGAAAGCAGGGTCAAGCAGCGCAGGGAACGCTAGCGCCCGTTGAATCTCCCCCGAGACGAACGTCCAGAGGAGCAGCGCGGGTATGCAGTTGATGCCTGGCGGAAGGAGCGGGGATGCAGAGAGCATGCCGATGGAGTGGAGTGGGGGTGATGGGAGAGAATGGACTCAGTGTTTTGAGACGTCTCAAAACACGCTTACTTTCCCGCAGATTGGGGGGTCATGCAGATGGAGTGGGGGGGATGGGAGAGAATGGACTCAGAGGAGCGGCGCGGGGAGGGAGGGGAGGAGTCAATCCATTACTTACACCACAGGACAACGCATGGTATCAGTTCGATTCAAAAGGCTCCAGCACTCACCATGAGACCACATGGGGCCGAAGCTGTTGCGGCCTTTGGCCTTGCCTAGCCTCGCGATAAGAGTGCGGTACAGAGCGGTGGTGATGTTGGAACAAATTGGAGAGCACTCACCTCACCATTGGACCACATGAGGCCGAAGCTGTTGAGCCCAGTGGACTTGCCCAGCCTCGCAATTAAGGCGCATTAAAGAGCGGTAGAGAGCAGTAGAGAGCGGTAGAGAGTGGTGGTGATGGTGGAGCACGCTCTTAAGTTGAGAGCACATGCAATGCAGACTCACCATTGGACCACATGAGGCCGAAGCTGTTGAGCCCAGTGGCCTTGCCTAGCCGCGCAGTGAGGGAGTGGCAGAGAGTTGTGGTAATGTTGGGACATGGTCTAAGTTGCGAGGACATGTAATAAGCACTCAACATTTCAATCAAGACTCATGGCACATGCACTGAGCACTCACCATTGGACCACATGAGGCCGAAGCTCTTGAGCCCAGTGGACTTGCCCAGCCTCGCAATAAGAGTGAGGTACAGAGCGGTGGTGAGGTTTGACAGGAGAACGACTGAGTAGCCGTAGGCCTCGAATGAGAAGTCCCTTACGGCTGCCACCAGTGCTCCTGCCACTATGACTGCCACACTGAACCGCAGAGAAGGGGGAGGAGAGAGGTGCAGAGCGGTTGTGATGTTTGCCAGGGGAGCAGTTGAATAGCCGTAGGCCTCGAATCAGAAGTCCCTTACGGCTGCCACCAGTGCTCCTGCCACTATGACTGCCACACTGCACTGCGGATAAGGGGGAGAAGAAGAGAGGTACAGAGCGGTGGTGAGGTTTGCCAGGGGAGCAATCGAGTAGCCGTAGACCTCGAATGAGAAATCCCTTACTGCTGCCACCAGTGCTCCTGCCACTATGACTGCCACACTGCACTGCGGATAAGGGGGAGAAGAAGAGAGGTACAGAGCAGTGGTGAGGTTTGCCAGGGGAGCAATCGAGTAGCCGTAGGCCTTGAATGAGAAATCCCTTACTGCTGCCACCAGTGCTCCTGCCACTATGACTGCCACACTGCACTGCGGATAAGGGGGGGAAGAAGAGGGGTACAGAGCGGTGGTGAGGTTTGCCAGGGGAGCAATCGAGTAGCCGTAGGCCTCGAATGAGAAATCCCTTACTGCTGCCACCAGCGCTCCTGCCACTATGACTGCCACACTGAACCGCAGAGACAGTGGGGAAGAGTGGGGAAGGGAAGAAAAACTTGCAATTGCTACATGCACAGGCATGAGCTTTCACGAGCTGACTTTTGAGTCGGCTCAAAAGTCAACTTGCAATTGCTACATGCACAGGCATGAGCTTTAACGAGAAACTCCCCCCCACCCTGCCGCCAGTGCTCCCTGTGACTGTAACTGCCACACTGAACCGCAGAGAAGTGGGGAAGGGAAGAAAAAATTGCGATTGCTACATGGCATGAGTTTTAACGAGAGACTCCCCCCTACCCTGCCACTAGTGCTCCCTGTGACTGTGACTGCCACACTGAACTGCAGAGAAGGGGGGAAGGGAGGAAAGAATTGCGATTGCTACATGGCAAGAGTTTTAACGAGAGACTCCCCCCTACCCTGCCGCTAGTGCTCCCTGTGACTGTGACTGCCACACTGAACTGCAGAGAAGGGGGGAAGGGAGGAAAGAATTGCGATTGCTACATGCACAAACACCATGAGTAAGACTCAATCACCCTGCCTGCCTGCCACCAGTGCTCCTGTCACTGCTACTGCTGCACTGAACTGCAGAGAAGGAGGGAGCAAAAGAGGTGTGGGGATCATTCAATTTACACTCCAAAAACAAGCGCACACTTAAAACAACACCAATCACCATGCGCCAATCACCAAGCGCCAATAACCATGCGCCAATCACCAAGCGCCAATCACCATGCGCCAATCACCATGCACCAATCACCATGCACCAATCTGAATGCAAGGCCAGCTGCTTTAGCGTAGCAACATTTCGACGTGCCACGCTATAAGTTGCGCCTGGTGCACGCCTGGGTTCTAGTTAGTCAAGAATCGATTGACTGTGTTCGACTCTTGGTGTTGGCATTTTTGCCATCCTTTCACTCCTGATGCAGCGCGAACCCTTCGTGCGACTGTACACCCGAACCATTATTTTGAGGCGCCTCAAAATACACCTCAATACTCGCGAATTCTGAGGCGCCTCAAAATACTCCTTTCACTCCTGATGCAGTGCGAACCCTTCGTGTGGTGATGGTACACCCGAACCATTATTCTGATGAACGTTCAAGTTTATCGACCAAACCTACACTTTTTAACTCCAAGCAAGCGGCCAAATTGTTGGAAGGAAGAGGAGAGGAACTTATAGTGGTTACAAAAAACATAACATTTGATGTAGGGAAGCTTAATTTGATAACGTTGGGAGGAGAGAAAAGCATAGTGGTCACAAAGGGAATGATACCTAACGTAGGGAGGCTTATTTGTATGTAATGAAACTTATTTTGATGTATTGAAACTTATTTTGATGTATTGAAACTTATTTTGACCCTCAGGCCCACCTGACGAGCGTGTAGGCGGAGTGCTGCTTGCTCGGCAGCACCCACTCTCCCAGGAGAGTGAAGGCGACCGTGGTGCGTCTGAGTCCACCAGGAGTGTAGAGGGGTGTAGAGGGGTGTAGAGTGGTGTAGTGCTACCCTCAACCCCACCCACCTGACGAGCGTGTAGGCAGAGTGCTGCTTGCTCGCCAGCAACCGCTCTGCCAGGAGAGTGAAGGCGGCTGTGGTGGCATGAAGCTGCTTGCAAGCCCCCCCCCCTCCCCCACACACAGCAAGTAGTGTAAGGAGGGTAACCCACCTGACGAGCGTGTAGACCGAGTGCTGCTTGCTCGCCAGCAGGCGCTCTGCAATGAGGGTGAAGGCGACTGTGGTGCGCCTGAGAGCCGTGTACATGGGCACGTTGACCCCTCTTATGCTCGCCATGCTGATCACCTGATAGTGGGATTGGGAGTAGATGGAAACACACACACACACACACACACACACACACACACACATGCACGGGTGAAGGAGACTGTGGTGCGCCTGAGAGCCTTGTACATGGGCACGTTGACCCCTCTTATGCTCGCCATGCTGATCACCTGATAGTGGGATTGGGAGTAGATGGAAACACATGAACACCCATGAACACACATGATCACACATGAACATATACACAGGGAGCGGAGAGTGAATGCAATGCAACTGTGGTGCGCCTGAGAGCTGTATACATGGAAGTGCCGTTCACCCCCCTTATGCTCGCCATGCCGATCACTCTCGCTCCTGCTCCTCCCTCCCCTCCCTCCCCTCCCCTTCTCCCCCCCATCCAGCCCCCACGCCGAGCATGTAGGGGAGGGAGAGCGGCAGCACTCGGCCGAGAATATGCAGAGGCATTCCTGCTCCTCCCTCCCTCCCCTCCCTCCCCTCCCTCCCCTCCCTCCCCTCCCTCCCCTCCCTCCCCTCCCTCCCCTCCCTCCCCTCCCTCCCCTCCCTCCCCTCCCTCCCCTCCCTCCCCTCCCTCCCCTCCCTTCCCTCCCTCCCCTCCCTCCCCTCCCTCCCCTCCCTTCCCTCCCTCCCCTCCCTTCCCTCCCTCCCCTCCCTTACCTCCAGTACACAAGGAGGCACGCACAAGGAGAGGCATGTACGCACCACGTTGAGCATGTAGGAGAGAGGGAGAGGGGGGCAGCACTCGCGCGAGAGTATGCAGAGGCACTCCTACTCCTCCCTCCCTCCCCTCCCTCCCCTCCCTTCCCTCCCTTAACCCCCAGACCCAGTACACAAGGAGGCCCGCACAAGGAGAGAGGCACGCACGCACCACGTTGAGCATGTAGGAGAGAGGGAGAGGGGGGCAGCACGTTGCACGGATCTAATACACGGACCGCTTGGGAGAGGGGGGCAGAACTCGGCCGAGAGTATGCAGAGGCACGAAAGCACTGCGCCCGCCCCTGCTGCTCCATCCCTTCCCTCTCGTCCCTCCCTTCCCTCCCCTCAGCATACCACGTTGAGCGTATAGGAGAGCGAGAGAAGCACAATCCCTCTGCGGCCGCCCCTGCTCCGCCCTCCCTTCCCTCCCTTACCCCCAGTCTAACAATGGGACGCACGCACCACGTTGAGCATGTAGGGGAGAGAGAGAGGCAGCACTCGTGCGAGAGCTTGCAGAGGCACCTGCTCCTCCCTCCCTTCCCTCCCTTACCCCCAGCACACAAGGAGGCTCGCACAATGTGAGGCACGCACCACGTTGAGCATATACGCGAGGGAGAGAGGCAGCACTCGGGCGAGGGTTTGCAGAGGCACGAAAGTACTGCTAGCCACGTCGGGTGTTGCGGAGGCGTCCGCGAAGGTGAGAACGCCCGCCAGGCGCAGCACGGCTAGGAGCGCCGTGGAGGAGAGCATCTGAAGGAGTGTTAGAGAAGGGGGGGGGGGGGGAGGAGAGACGGAAGGGAGAGAAAGGGAGGATACGCATCAGGACATGCAAGAACGCCTGCCAGGCGCAGCACGGCTAGCAGCGCCGTGGAGGAGAGCATCTGAGGGGGGAGTGGGAGCAACGGAGGGGAGGATACACAGCGGGACAAGTGGGCTAGCCGTCTGTGAAGGTCAGAGCGCCTGCCCAGGCGCAGCACTGCTAGCAGCGCCGTGGAGGAGAGCATCTGAGGGGGTAAAGAAGGGGGTGGGTGGGTGGGCAGGGGGGAGATAAAAGGACTATTGAGGTGTTGCAGAGGCGTCTGCGAAGGTGAGAACGCCTGCCAGGCGCAGCACGGCTAGCAGCGCCGTGGAGGAGAGCATCTGAGGGGGTAAAGAAGGGGGGGTGGGAGCAGCGTGATAAGGTGGAGGAGCCACTGCTTCGGCCTTGGCCTAGCTGCCTGCGCAGGTGAGAAGGCCCGCCAGGCGCAGCACGGCTAGCAGCGCCGTGGAGGAGAGCATCTGGAGGTGGGAGGGGGGAGAAGAAAAGGGGAGAGAGAGGAGGGGAGGATATGCAGCATCAGGAAATGAAAGGTCGTTTGAGAGACCAGCACGGCTAGAAAGGCTGCAGCGGGGGATGGCTGGGGGCGAGGGAGGGAGGATATGATGCAGCATTAGGAAATGAAAGGTCGTTTGAGAGACCAGCACGGCTAGAAAGGCTGCAGCGGGGGATGGCTGGGGGCGAGGGAGGGAGGATATGATGCAGCATTAGGAAATGAAAGGTCGTTTGAGAGACCAGCACGGCTAGAAAGGCTGCAGCGGGGGATGGCTGGGGGCGAGGGAGGGAGGATATGATGCAGCATTAGGAAATGAAAGGTCGTTTGAGAGACCAGCACGGCTAGAAAGGCTGCAGCGGGGGATGGCTGGGGGCGAGGGAGGGAGGATATGATGCAGCATTAGGAAATGAAAGGTCGTTTGAGAGACCAGCACGGCTAGAAAGGCTGCAGCGGGGGATGGCTGGGGGCGAGGGAGGGAGGATATGATGCAGCATTAGGAAATGAAAGGTCGTTTGAGAGACCAGCACGGCTAGAAAGGCTGCAGCGGGGGATGGCTGGGGGCGAGGGAGGGAGGATATGATGCAGCATTAGGAAATGAAAGGTCGTTTGAGAGACCAGCACGGCTAGAAAGGCTGCAGCGGGGGATGGCTGGGGGCGAGGGAGGGAGGATATGATGCAGCATTAGGAAATGAAAGGTCGTTTGAGAGACCAGCACGGCTAGAAAGGCTGCAGCGGGGGATGGCTGGGGGCGAGGGAGGGAGGATATGATGCAGCATTAGGAAATGAAAGGTCGTTTGAGAGACCAGCACGGCTAGAAAGGCTGCAGCGGGGGATGGCTGGGGGCGAGGGAGGGAGGATATGATGCAGCATTAGGAAATGAAAGGTCGTTTGAGAGACCAGCACGGCTAGAAAGGCTGCAGCGGGGGATGGCTGGGGGCGAGGGAGGGAGGATATGATGCAGCATTAGGAAATGAAAGGTCGTTTGAGAGACCAGCACGGCTAGAAAGGCTGCAGCGGGGGATGGCTGGGGGCGAGGGAGGGAGGATATGATGCAGCATTAGGAAATGAAAGGTCGTTTGAGAGACCAGCACGGCTAGAAAGGCTGCAGCGGGGGATGGCTGGGGGCGAGGGAGGGAGGATATGATGCAGCATTAGGAAATGAAAGGTCGTTTGAGAGACCAGCACGGCTAGAAAGGCTGCAGCGGGGGATGGCTGGGGGCGAGGGAGGGAGGATATGATGCAGCATTAGGAAATGAAAGGTCGTTTGAGAGACCAGCACGGCTAGAAAGGCTGCAGCGGGGGATGGCTGGGGGCGAGGGAGGGAGGATATGATGCAGCATTAGGAAATGAAAGGTCGTTTGAGAGACCAGCACGGCTAGAAAGGCTGCAGCGGGGGATGGCTGGGGGCGAGGGAGGGAGGATATGATGCAGCATTAGGAAATGAAAGGTCGTTTGAGAGACCAGCACGGCTAGAAAGGCTGCAGCGGGGGATGGCTGGGGGCGAGGGAGGGAGGATATGATGCAGCATTAGGAAATGAAAGGTCGTTTGAGAGACCAGCACGGCTAGAAAGGCTGCAGCGGGGGATGGCTGGGGGCGAGGGAGGGAGGATATGATGCAGCATTAGGAAATGAAAGGTCGTTTGAGAGACCAGCACGGCTAGAAAGGCTGCAGCGGGGGATGGCTGGGGGCGAGGGAGGGAGGATATGATGCAGCATTAGGAAATGAAAGGTCGTTTGAGAGACCAGCACGGCTAGAAAGGCTGCAGCGGGGGATGGCTGGGGGCGAGGGAGGGAGGATATGATGCAGCATTAGGAAATGAAAGGTCGTTTGAGAGACCAGCACGGCTAGAAAGGCTGCAGCGGGGGATGGCTGGGGGCGAGGGAGGGAGGATATGATGCAGCATTAGGAAATGAAAGGTCGTTTGAGAGACCAGCACGGCTAGAAAGGCTGCAGCGGGGGATGGCTGGGGGCGAGGGAGGGAGGATATGATGCAGCATTAGGAAATGAAAGGTCGTTTGAGAGACCAGCACGGCTAGAAAGGCTGCAGCGGGGGATGGCTGGGGGCGAGGGAGGGAGGATATGATGCAGCATTAGGAAATGAAAGGTCGTTTGAGAGACGAAGCACGGCTAGCACAAGATACCTCAAAGTGGATGATGACGTCACCTGGAGGGTACTAGAGACGTCACAGGGAGGGTAGTGATGACGTCACCTGGTTGCGTGACGTCACCTGAAGTAGAGAAATGACGTTGGCGCAGGGGAAGTTGAAAGAGGAGAGCGCGGCCTTGTTGAACATAACGAGTGTGACTGTAGGGAGGGAGCGAGATGAGCACGTATAGTAGGGTAAGAAGAAAGGAGAAACGGGTAAGGAGGGTGGTAAAGTCACAGATCGGTTTAAAGATGGTGATACAACAGCTTACCTTAAGCAACCTAATTACGAGTCACAGGTGTAGAATCACATAAGCAGAAGTCCAATGTAATCACGAGTCATTCAGCCTAGGTCACAAAGAATCACCAAATGTACCTGAGTTATCGCACTCAAATCCCATACCTTACCATAGTATAAATAAAACGTGAGAAACCTTATATCGAACGGTGACACGAAAAAAGTAACCCAGACTGCCCGAACATCGTACCCGAACTACCCGAAACACGTAACCCGAACTATCCGAAGCACCTAAACCTAGTAACTACCTGCGCAGATCATGTACGAAACGGCGGCGAGCATCCCGCGCCGCGTCATGCTCCCGTCCAGCCTCTCGTCCGCGCGCGACGTCATGTCTTGCTGTCTCGCGTCGAGCTTGTCGTCCGCCAGTAACGGGTTTTGAATCGACTCAAAACTCGTCGTCGCATTCTGGATCGACTCAAAACTCACGCGCCGCGTGATGCTCCCTTCAAGCTTCTCATCCGCCAGTACCGGCAACAGATTCTTCTTCTCCGCGCGATGCGCTTCATCGGATAGAACGTCCATCTGGCAAGAATGGGGGCCGTGCTAATGATGGTGGTAGTAGTAATCGCGACTGTACTACAATAGTAGTGGCAGGATTCTTGATTGCTTTTCTACTCGCAGCCAAGACAACGGAAATAAAAAAAAAGCGCGCTGTTAGAACCCGCCTGGTCCCCATAGCGTCGAACCGTCCCGGCCGGCAAACCTGGCTTTACACAGGCAGGAAAGACGACGTCACGCACGCAGAATTTGTTCTTGGATATTCGAGTTCTTGGGAAACCGAGATGAAAATGGGATAAGGATGGATGGACCGAGGAGAGGAGTTCACAACATGTAAACTGTACTGTTGTGGAGGACCGAGGCTCTGTTAGGCGGAAGTTCCCGAGGCGGGCTTTGTGTTACGCTGTAGCCTTGGGGCTTGATTTTCAGTCCGGAATTCGCAATTGGGCGAGCGAGCGAAGATTGCGCAATGCGTAACAAGGCACGAGGGAGCACTGCACTGCTGGCGCCCAAGTGACACAAGTGTTGAGAGTCAAAGACTTGACAGTCATGCTCGAAACGAAAGTGTGGTGGGGGTTGGACTGGGAATGGGGATCGCCACGCCAATGCGAATTCGCGATTTGCTTTGCAAGCAACAGCGCGACGGACCTTGAGTCCACACAAATTCTTCGCCATTTGTCCGCCATATCAGGCATCTTTGACTGGCTAGAACGTGAAGAATCTTTGTTGGTGGGTAACAATTCTACAGTATTATATTACAGAAATGGGAAAATATGTCAATGGTAACTTACATGGGGCAGTATAACGCGTACGGTAACGATTTCAACGCGCTTGGTAACTCGCTTAACGCGTTTGGTAACTCGCTTAACACGTTTGGTAACTCGCTTAACGCGTATGGTAACTATACACTACCAGCCCATCACGCGAATGGTAACTAGAAGAAACCCTCGCCCAAAATGACCCTGATTCTGGTTTTTCCCGCTCGCGTCAGACTAAATTGACGAATCTTGAAGCAGAAACCTCTGACACACTCTCCGAGATTCTGACACAGTTTTCCGAAATTCTGACACACTTCCCGAAATCCTGACACACTTTCCGATTTTCAAGCTAATTGCAAAACCGTAAGTGTTTCAAAAAAAAAAAATATGCAACTGATATTCTGGCGCTCCTTCCACAAACTGTTTTTACTTAATTCTATCGTGCAGCCGGGGCAAACAAATCTATACCCCTTTCAGATGGCAAATGAATTTGGGAGCATCAACCCTAAACTCCTTGCAACAAGGCGTATATGGTTCTTTTTTGAAAAATGGAATTTAATTCTAAAGAGGTGTATCTTTTCCACATGAAAAAAAAATGGCCAACGTTGCAGTAATTACAAAAATTAAAAGCCCGATGCCCTTTCACGAATTTTTTTTTAAATCATTTTGCAAGTTTGCAATCGTGCGAGCCATATATGTATATATATATAAACTTTGAAACTTCTTGGTCCGT